TGATCCAGATGCTGAGATTGGATGGGTCTCCAGGGGCAGAACAACCGTGAGCTTCACATGTTACGATGTATGATGATTTTATGTGTCACTTTACCTGGCCAAAAGATGCCCAGCTGGCTGGTAAAACATGTCTAGGTGAGTCGATTGGAACCAACAATTGAACAGTATGGACTGCATTCATAAAGTGGGTGGGTACCCTCCAGCCAATGGAAGGCCCTGTAACAGAATGTAGTGGTACCCGCCAGCCAATAGCAGGCCCTGTAACAACGGGGTGGATGAGATGAATTTCTTCTTCCCGCAGTGGCACATCCCGGGCCTGGTGCTTCCTGTGCCACTGATCACATCTTTTGGGGGAATTGTCTGTGAGTTCAGGAGCTTTAGGGACTAAGGATGCTTATTTGGGAGAGTTACCCTAAGTGCTTACAGCCTTGAGTTTGGTGATAGGCTGAGCTTAAGCTACGTCAAAGTTACCCCATTGCTTAGAGAGCTAGTGGGAAAGTAGGAAATGTGGTGCTGCAGATGGGGGGGGGGCTGAGGGAGGGGGAGGGGGAGCGGTGAGCCACAGGAGAGTGCCCTTAGGAGCTGGAGAGGTCTCCAGTTGGTCTAAGCCACCTGACACTGGAAAACCCTTGGTGACCCATTAAAACCAGTGCCAGGACAGAAACAGGGCGTGAAGACTGTTTGGCTGGGGCCTTCACCCCAGCCCCCTGGCATCCATATATACAAGGAGTCTAAAAAATGTTTAGTTAAAAGTATCACCTCAGCCCCTAACATCCTTATCAAAAAAAAAAAAAAGCCTGGAATGTTTGGCTGGAGGCTTCACCCCATCTCCTGACATAAGCCCCCTCTCCTGGGAGTTGCCTCAGTCCAAACTCCACCTTCGAGAAAGCCCACCAAATGGTGACCCCCTCCCCAGGGAGGTCAAGATCACTCCCACAGGCTATTTAAACTGCCCCTCAGTGAATGAACGTGGTCTCCTGGTTTTCCATGGTCTTTTGGTTCTCTGTTCCCCTCTCCATGTTTTCCCAGGATGGGGGGGCGGGTCACCCGAGAGTTGTCCTCCATTAAACCTAGGCATCTTTTAATTTGGTCTGATTAGGTCTGATTGTGATTATTGCATCAGCAGAGAGGTTTGTTGGTCACAAAATACTTAACAAAAACCAGGGTGGAGATTGCAGGGCATCAAGGAGACGGCACAGAGGGCAGAGCTGTGGCCTTGGAGGACATTGAGCACTGCTTCACTCTCAGAAGTAGGACCAGATACAACCAGATTTGTGCCTGGTTGGGGAGGGGAGCAGGCTTTTGCTGGGGCCTTTGTACTGCTGTCCCTGGCAGTATCAATCAATAGGCTCCCTATGGTTCTGATTTCTTCCTTGAAGTCCCTGTGGCTTGTGTGTGCATTTCCTGCTGTGTGCTCCTCTAGGCTGGTCTGTGGAAGAGAACTGTGGGGCCCCAAGAGGCTGTCTGCTCTTCTGTGTTCTGGACTGTCCTAATACATAATCACCAATGGGGGACCACGTCAGCTTCGTCTAATAAACCAGAAACACTAAGGCTACTCAGTGTTCGGATAAATCCTTGCTCAGATCTCTGCCCCCCACCCTCACCCCTCCCCTAGCTGGCTCTGAGGAAGGAGAAAGTTCTCCCAAGTACTAGGGGCAGGTGAAGGATGCTCCCCCAGTGTGATCCCTATCTACACATTTTCTGGAGCTGGGGTATAAACATGATATGTCCCTGAACTTCTGCAGAAGTAAGTCTACTCCTCAGTTCAGAAAGGCAATGGCTTTGAGGGGGTAGGACTGTGGTGTTCTGGCCTTAGGGCCTCTGGGAGGTGGTCAGGATTAGATAAGGTCATGGGCAGAAGAGGGAAGGCCAGAGGAAACACACACACTCGTTCCTTATCTCACCAGGTGAAGCTCTGTGCTGCCTTAGGTCTCTGGCAGCAGGAATGCCATTATTAACTGTAACCTCTTGACCTTGGGTCTTTTGAACCACAGACCAAAATAAATTTTTCTTTACCTGTCTCGGGCATTTGCAATAGCAGTGAAAGTTAGGTTGGTGGATACAGTGGGGGGGGGGGGGGGACACGGCCATGACTTTGAAAGCTTTTTGGTGAACATTTTGGATGTTTTCCCAACCTTAATCGGGGACATCTTTCTCCCTCTTGAGATGGAGTACTCCTCTCTCACCCCAGCTGTGACACACTTGCCTCCAAGCAGACCCAGGCAGGTTCCACATGGTTGTCCCAGTTATGAAGACATGGTGTATGCACTCTGTCCATGTCCTCACAGCCGCTGGTAAGGCTGGCAGCAGAGAGAGGGGGGCAGGAGGCAGGGTGTTGGGAGAAGTGAGCGCCCCCGTTACATGGCCAGGATTTGTGCTCTACACACTGCCATTCACTCCAGAAGACGAGAGAGGTGGCTGGACCTCATTGGCACTGCCAGACCTTGGCATATTTAGGCAGGGAGGAGGCCCGGGACTGAAGAATTTATTTGCATTCCCCTGGGGAGACCCAGGCCTCCACCAGCGTGGTATTTACTAGTGATCTCTGTGGCCACCGTTCCCCACAACCAGGTCTCAGGAGCACCAGGCTACCGCCACAGCAGGGGAGGACATCGCCCCCTTCACCAGTCCCAGCGGACCGGCTTTTGTCTTTGACTTTCCAGAGAGCTTAACACCATGGTGGAAAAACATTTTATTACACATGTTCAACTTGCTTCCAATGAAATGATGAATTTTTCACGTACGATGGCATCCGCTGCTTGTCACCTCATTTTTTGTAGTCTCTCATAACCAGCACCCAAGACTAAAACAAAATGGAACAGAGCCCACAGGCACAGTACTGAGTGTAAGTTAACTAGTGGGAAGTATATACATTTGACTTTAAAATGAAAGAAAGAGCAAAGGTGAGGTTGCCACCGAGGCTCCTTTCCTGTGCTGATCGAGCGAGCCTCCGACAGCTGCGAGCGGTTTGTCTTGCACCAGTATGAATAGCACCATAAGATTGTGAGACGCTGGCGACACATCCGTGCGGCCACAAAGGTACAGTACTTGAGTGACAGTGAGGGTTTAACACAGAAGCATCACCGTGGGGAGCCCAGAGCTCTGATGGCTCTGGGTGAAACAGAAAGGAAGTGTCACGGTGGAGCTCAAAGTGACCAGCCAGCGTTTGTTCAGAAAGCGTGCGTGTGTGTGTGTGTGTGTGTGTGTGTGTGTGTGTGTGTAAGCACTGAGGGGCTGAACACTAAGGTGGCCGTGGGGCATGAGGGACAGTGTACACCTATGGGGATATGCTCACACTTGCTCTGCCTAGGTGGGCCTCTGCAGACACACAAGGAGGACTATGTAGCTTCCTGAGCTGGCTCTGCTGGCAATCTCATTATTTTCTGGCTCCAAAATATAAATGTCTTTGGGTAAATCAGCAAGATGTTGGGCTGAGGAAAAATTGGCAGCACCTTTCCCTCTACCGCACCCCCCAAACTCCCTGGAATCTGTGGGGTTTAGAAACAAGGTGGGGAGTCTGCTGGTGAGCAGACGTGAGCCCGGGGGAGGGGGATGGGAGAGCAGTGTTTAGCACAGCATCGGGGTGATGACTAGCGGGTTACTTCATCCTGACAGTCTCTGGGAGCACCTAAGGAGGTTTAGCACCACCCCTTTTCAATTCAAGTGGAATCAAATAAATTCCCTGCCACCCCTACCACGTCTCTGTGATGGGCTAGTAAAAATCGAAAAACAAAAAACAAAAACAAAAAAACCTAAGCTAAAATAGAAACAGCACCAATAATCAAAAAGCACTTAGAGATGGTCCCAAGGAAACCAGCCCAAAGAGCTTCTATCAGACACCAGAAGATGGGCCTCAAGGTAGTTCCAAATATAAGCACCCACGAAACCCAACCAAGAGGTGAAGCAAAGCTAGCCGGCCACAGCAGCCAGGAGACTGCCAGCTGGTCTGCTCTCAGAGAGCTCAGTCTGGTCACTTCTCTGAGCTTCTGGAGATAGGAAAGTTCTGTGGTAAGAGTGGAGGCATGGAGACAGAAGAGAGGACCTTCTCCATCGGTTCAGGTCACATCGGGATGGGTCAGTGAAGACAGCTGTGAGCCGCGAAGAAGGTACCAGGCGTGAGGTCTGGGTTAGAGGGCTTGATGGACGGGCAGCAATTTCAGCCAGGTGGTGTTCCTCCACAAGTCCCGGCACACCTTCCTTGTGCCCAGATACTGAAGTCAACCCTTATGCTGCCGAACCCAGGACTGACTGATGTGTGTCCTCAGATGTCCTGAGCGGCATCCTAACTTCAGAAGAAAGGCCAATGGAAAGTCACTTGGCCAAGATGGAGCATGTTTTTAATGTGCAAAGCCTTATTGAGTGCTGGCCAGAGTGGATATGCCTGGAGGCAGGGTGGGAGTTGGCACACCCCTGAGGGAGCTGAGGGCACCTTTATGTCAGGTACACAGGTACCCTGTGCACCATGTGCGCCTGTCCCATTTCATAGCACCTTGAGGAAAGGTTCCCCCTCCCCCTTTCCCTATGGGATACACCTCTGAGCACTAAAAAGTAGATGGCTTCCCAAATCCAGTTCTTCGGGGATGCCCCCCCCACACACACAGGTGGGGTGCAGAGTTACATGGCACTGGTATTCTTGTTGGTCTACTTAGATTTTAAACTCTCAGGGGCAAGGTTTCTAAGGTAAGGCCCAGGATTTTGAGACTATGTTTTTGAGGTGGGCAGAGGCCAAGTCTTGATCCTTGGACTCAGGCAGCATAGCCCTCCCCCAGAGAAGCCGTAGCTGAGGCTGGTCAACCAGGGCATTGCTGGCTTTCAGGACAGTGCCTCTTCCAATGTGATATCTCATTTCTAGGATATTTCCACAAAGCTACATCAAGCCGGAGGAATTCAAATGTCAATGGAAAGCCAGGACAGAAGCACTAAACACTCCTGCTTAATCTCTCTCTCTCTCTCTCTCTCTCTCTCTCTCTCTCTCTCTCTCTCT